AGGGGGGGGGGGGGGAAAGAATGCAGCCACCTCATCTGAAGACTGGTAAGATGTAGTCATTTTGTTTTTGGGTTTAAATATGCTTTAAGGGTTATTAGGACCTATTTTAGGACATTCCTCAACTCTCACTCTTTTTTTTTCTGCTTCATTGTTTAACATAAAGCCCATAATGTAACCTCATATGCAGGCCATGAGCTGTACTAGGCTCATGCAGCATTATAGGCCTCATCGGCCATTTTAAGTCTTAGCATAAAATCTAAGATGAGATGCTTAAATTGATTTCATGGATTCTTTCTTTCCAAAAGCCCTTCAGACTAAAAGGTATAAAAACTACCATACCTAATGAAGGAAAATATAGGAAACAAAAATATATGAAACAAAAATGGCTCCAGTTGACAGGGGATTTTTGGGCTGACTGTTTCACGTCATGAATGATGCTAATCATGCTCTGTGTTTTCTTGTCTGTTTTTTTTCCACTTTCATCCAGCAGGAAGGCTCCCGCTTCACCTACACGACCCACCATTATCCGACCTGCCGACCCGACCCTCTTAGATTAATTATTGGAGGCCTGGCTGCCGAATACAGCTTTCTCCCTACCACCCTTCCTCCCAGCCCCCTACCATACCTCTTCCAGGCATGGTGAAAACGTCCCCTCTACTTCACTGTGTTGTAAACACTGGCTCAGTGTCACTATGTATTGTATTGTACAGATGTGTAGTATCGTCCCTTGCCGCTCCATATTGTGATGTTAAAACACCGGAAATGTATGGTCAAATATATATATATATAGATTTTATTTTTCTTGCTTTTCCCAAATGTCACTGCCCATTATTCCACCAGCTTCTGAAACTGATTCACCTCATTGTGTCTCATGTTATTTTGTTGTACACTTTTTGTTAATTTTTTTTAAGGTTGTAATTGAAAATAGTTTAATTAGCAGGCAAAAAGCTGGTAAATAAAAAAGGAGCATTTTGCACTCTTTATTGCTGTTCAAAGTGTACCTGTCTCCTATGCAATGGAGGTGGTCTTTTTGTAGCCTAGCTCAGCCATTTAATGCAGCTACTAAGGCCTACTGGACTGCTAGGCCGTTTGCTGACTCAGACTACAGAATAACTTCCTGGACTTGAGAGACCCATAAAAAAATAGAATTTAAAAATCATGTCAGAAAAAAGTCTGCACAGGCTGATGTACTTTTCATAGATTTCTACATGTGTAATAGCACACAATGCCTCTTTAGTCCCCAATATTATAACAAAGTGAACATGAAGTCAGGTCCATGTTGGTTAAGCACCAATATAATGGCACAGTAGTTACTGCCAGATGCCCACATGTCAAGTTAGCTCTCAATATTGGGAGAGCCCAAAATCCCTGAATGCTTTGCTGAGCACATTTTAATCATCTCCTGTGACCAGGAGCCTAGTCCTGCCACTGACATTCCTCACTATTGGCTTATTGGCAGAGCCAGGCTCCGTCACAAAAACCAGACACATTTTGTAGACAAGAATCCTTGTCTACAGGCTTTTGCTAACATTTACCTGACTTACACTTTGCTTTCAAGCCGAGCTTTGAACATGTACAATGCCCTCCTAG